TTTCAAGAAGCAGCTAGCATGCGCATGGGGAAGCTCAGCAGCTAAAAAGGGGCAAGAACAGCAGTTCAGGAGGGGACAGAGAGGAACGCTTAGATGTGGGAGACGTGGTTGATGTCATATACTTGGATTTTAAAAGGAACTTTGATATGGTTTCCCATGATGCTCTCAAAAAAAAAAACAAAAAACAAAAAAAAAAACCTGGGGGATTATGGGCTGGCAGAGTCCATGGTCAGGCAGGTTGGGAAATGGCTAAGAGATCGAACCCAGAGAATGTTAGTGGACAGGTCTATATCATCTTGGTGGGAGGTGGCCAGTGGTGTCCCAGAGGGTTCAGTACTTGGCCCTATGTTGTTCAACATCTTTATCAACGATTTAGGTAAGGATGTGGAAAGCATACTGGCCAAGTTTACAGATGATACTAAGTTATGGGGAAAAGCAGTCATGCTAGGGAGTAGGATGAGGATCCAAGCAGACCTGGATAAGCTGGAAAGCTGGGTGGAGCAGAACCTGATGCCGTTCAATAAGGATAAAAGCAGAGTGTTTCATCTGGGGAGAAGTAACCAGCAACATAAATACAGATTAGGAGATGTCCTAGCCAGCATGATGGCTGGAAGGGAGCTCAGGGTTATGGTTGATAAAGCATGAACATGAGCTGCCAATGTGATGCTGTAGCCAACAGAGCTTATGACATACTGGGATGCATTAGCTGATGTGTTGTGAGAAGGGCTAAGGAAGTGACACTTCCTCTCGTCTCAGTGTTGGTGAGACCCCAGCTGGAGTACTATGTCCAGTTCTGGATGCCACACTTCCAAAAAGGTGTGGAGAATCTTGAAAGGGTTGGAGAAGTGCGACAAGAATGATTAAGGGCTTGGAGGACAAGCCTTATGGAGGAAAGACTAAGGGATGTGGGACTGTTCAGCCTGGGGAAGAGAAGACTGAGGGTGGCCATCTATAAGTATGTAAGGGGTGGGAGAAAAACTATTCACTAGGGCACCCCAGAGAAGGACAAGGAGCAATGTCCATAAAGTATTAGAATAGTTTCAGGTTGGATGTAAAGAACTTAATTATCATAAGGGTGACCACAACCTGGAATAGACTTCCCAAGGAGGTGGTGCAGTCCCCAACTTTGGAAGTCTTCAAGAGGAGACTGAACAGACACCTCACTGGAATCATTTCATCTCAGCTGTATTCCTGCCCAACGCAGGCAGGTTGAACTTGATGATCTTTCAAGATCCTTTTCAGCCCTTCATTTCTATGATTAATTCAAGACTTCTTGACCAGTGATTTAAACCAATTTGATTTAAATCAAAATCTACCCTGCTGTCTCCCCTTCCTCTTTCTTAGGCTACATACATATGTTCAAAAGACTTAGGAGAATTCTCCTGGGTGTGTTCTTCCGATTAAAAAAAAAATATATATATATATATATATATATCACCTGGAGATGCCTTAAGAGACATTCAAATCCTGAGTCCTTGAAGAGCAGAGAGCTTATAATGCTGATGCTGTATATCCAGGGGGTACCCAGTGTACATCTCTCAGGGTGTTTTTCAGGCTCCTTTAGTCTATCTAGTGACAGATGGCAGCAGTCCATAGGGCAGCCCTGATTGACTGACCTAGACTGCTCAGTCAGCCTGTGCCTCTCTGCAGCATAATGTGGGATTATGAAGAGGGCATGTTCTGCTTTTTGCTCAGCTGGAATAATAGCCCACCTGAGCAACACAGCATCTTTGAGGGGGAGTGAGGGGAACATCCTGGGATACAGGAGGACTGTAGTATGAATTCTCTCAGAAAGGTAAATAGTACAAACATACACTGTCCTAGGAGTAACTCTCCTGGGAGTGATTTAACTCTGTCTGCTCCCTGGATATTTTTCTCTGGAGGAGCTGTTCTTGTTTTAGGAGAAAAATCCTGAGCATCTGTACACTCATGGTTTTTCCTGGGAGAGCAGCAACTCTCCCAAAATAAACTGAGTGTCTGTACAAGGCCCCAGTCACCTCGCCTCTCTGAGAGATCATGCTCTACTAGTTATCTACCATAATCCTTCAGACCACAGCAAAGTCACCGTTTTCCATAACAAACGCCCATTCTATAAAACTAACACACCTGTTTTGTCTCTAAATATACATCTTTGCATTCAGCTGTATTTTCTCCTTTTTAAGGATGTTTTACCAGCAACAGCATATGACTCCTATGTATTCATCCACCAGGCAGAAATCCCCCTTTTTCTTTCTACACATGCACATATTATTCCCAACATAATATGTTATGGCTTATCACTCAAATGATTTGGTCAATTATTTTTAAATATTGCTGAAAAATTCACAAGTTTTTAAGCCAAACTGTTCACCCCAAAATTAACCAAAAGTTAGAGAGGAGCCAAAAGGAAGATGCAACTACCTTTCATTGTAAAGCTCTAAGTATGGATGGGTGTCTGACTCTTTAGTATAAGACTTGGTCATGTGATATGGATGAGGGCTAGGGTGGGAGAATCGGAAAACAAAAATAGGGCCCAGTTTTTATACTGCACACTGATGTTGCAATACAAGAGTTATATTTAAAATGCAGTAATTGACACAGATCCCTTTACTGCAATAGTATAATTAATTCTGAAAACAAGAGGGAGCAATCTGTTCTCACAAGAGCCATGGAAAAAATGCAAACATAGGAGACACTGCACAATCCCATTTAGAGCTTTATCCCATTTGCCAGAGAGATAATGGGATGCAAATCTTTCTCTGACTTCTCAGTTATTCTAAGATTTCCTTTTCTTTTTTTTGGTAAAATTTATGATTTAGTGGTATATTCACTGGCTCCTTTATGTTAAAACATGATGAAAGATTTTAGTCTGCATTGTGAACACCTATTTCAGCATAATAGGTTTCCAAGTGTTAAAGGACTGCAATTTAGTACAGATTATGGATTTTGTTAACACGCTTTGGAGTTTTGATTTTCTTAATGTGTTTCATAAATTGCTTTAATATGTTTGGACATGTTGTGGCCTCTAAATTGTATTTTAGAGTGATTTTTATGTACACAGAGCATTCTAATATGTGGTACCATGGCTAAACAAAAGCAATTAAGAAGACAAAGTAAAATGCAAAACAAACCCATATATGTAAAATAAACTCCACTGAAGCTGCTGTTACTCGTCAAATTATGTTCTTTTTGATCAAAAAGTCGTATTTAGAGAAAGCAATTCCAAGTCACTGCCATCATTATTCTGTGACTGTTTTAAGTGAGCTTTCACAACATAGCTGCAATGATTATTTTGGCTTATAAATGCATTTACAAGCCAGCTGCAGTAGGTCTGAACACCAACAAATACTTTTTTCATGTGTTCCCAACCTTGAAAGAATATACAATCCTTATATATACAGAACTGGGTAAGGATTAAAGGTAGTGTGAATTCATTTGTAATTTTAAAACAGAAGAACACCTGGGCCCTTACAAAACTGTGTGCTTGTCACAGAAAAAACTTCCATAGATGCTGTACTAAGTCAATCTTCCACACCAA